AGAATATGTTCCGGTCAGTGTTGTATTAATACGCTAAGAATTGTGTCTCGTGCTGCATGGTAATTAAAGCCCCATCAACGACATAGCTTTCAAAGAGGCTATATAGTGACAATGCCATGCAAATGTAAATATTCATCTATATAGTGCATAACAACACCTACCAGTAGCTTTATAAATGCATTATCATGTGTTTTCAGTATCAAATTACCCAAGAAGATGTTGAGAAAGACATAAGAATAACTACAAAACAATTTGAGAATGAATTTTTTTTTTTTTTTTTTTTTCCCATTTGGAAATGCATTTTCTCAATAAAGGATATTTGCTCGTCATAGGCGACTCCCTGAACCGGAAATGATATCGTTTACAAAAATGTTCCGCGTTAGAAATAGTCCGTCGTTAACAAATAATTACAAAAGGATAAAAAAAATAGTATGTGTATGCATATGGAAAGGTCAGTGACGACAGTATTGTTTTCAAATATCTTTCTACATAGTTTTTAGGTGTACAGATTTGCATGGTATTCCACCGCGCAAATCTTCTGTTTGTTTTCAGGGTTTGTCGCTTGCATGTGGATAAAATCTCGATTCCACCCGTGGTTGCCTCTCGATTTTATCTAGGTGCTCGCGATGAGAAAATTGTTCTCACGACAAACCCTCAAACAGTGTGATAATCTATCATTATCCCGAATAGACTCTTGGACTTTGGAATGTTTTCTTATGCTATAATTTCTCCATGTTAAAAGCTAGATTATTTTCATTAATTTGAGAAAAATTCAATTAATAGGATATATGTTGTTAATTAATCTTGATCAATTAAGGTAGAACGAAAACAAGTTTATTTACATGTCATAATGACGAATACATTTCTTATATGCTAATGAATCATCAAATAAAAAAAGTCTGTTACAGTGATATATTTAAGGATTTCTACAGACAGACATTTGCTTTTTTTCAGTTTTGAACATGGCTCTTGTCACCATCATCGATGAACAGAACAACAAATATACTTTCAAAAGATACAATGGTTATCCGTTCAATATCGAAACTATTGGAAATGTTGGGGATCAGCTTGACAAAATAGCACACCGCAATATCAGAGAAGATGATGTACTTGTCTGCGTGTTTCCGAAGTCTGGTAACGATTTATTTTGATTTTAACCATCTAAATGCAGAATTCAGTGTCTCGGAGAGTCAGAGTAAAGGTAGTCAAGTTTGGTAAGGTTTATACGGTTAGCGTACTGTTAATAATAAGGATCAATTACAGACGTTTCTGAACATACTTACATGTACTGACAGTATACACAATGGTAAGCTTGTCTTTCCTAACTCTATTTTGTTCTTTTAAACAATATCGTTGCGGTTGCTTTTTCAAGTGCTCATCTATTTCAGGCTCAAATTGATTAACTGTCATTGCGTTCACTATATTAGATTTTGTAGGTGGGATGGGAGGTTGTTCTGCATGTCAATATTTCTCTATGTAAACGAATATTTTCTCTTAGATCTAACATTAAACACTTTATATTTTAAAATTGAGGCAAAATATGAGCAAAGGAAATATTTACATCAACATATTCGATCACCAACAAAGAAAGATGTTATCAACACTCAACTGTAACAGTATTTGACAAGTTAATATTTAAAAAAGAATAACGGCAAGGACAGGCAATATTGGTCACTGTTAATTTTCTAGGCACACATTGGCTGTACAATACTGTGATGATGTTACGATCAAGATCCTTGAAGTATCACGGAACGCCAACAATGATGGAATTCCAAGAATTCAATAAAATTGAAGAAATGGAATCGCCCAGGACGTTTGGCTCCCATCTGCGTTTTCGGTTTCTTCCCGAGCAGATGAAGCTTGGGAAAGGGAAAGTTGTCACCATTGTGCGCAATCCCAAAGACCTTGTGGTATCGTTTTACCATATGCTGCAAAAACTTGGAGATGTTGGATATGACGGAACATTTGAAGGCTTTTTGAAAGTTTTCGTCTCTGAAGAATGTAAGATTTGGTATTTTCTATTGTGGTTGTAATTATATATGGCATGTGGGCATATGGAGAATTTAAGACACTAATGACTAAAATAACAGTGCTAAAATACGTGATCACAAACTGAATACACTAAACTTACACTATAAGATTAAAAATGGAGGAAAGAAAGGACGAAAAATAGCAAAGGAATTGGTTGTAAAATCAATGTTAAGATCAATTTGGTGTTGACAATCATATACATTTATTGCACAGAAATGATAATGAACTGTTCATAAGGATATATTATAAAAGTCTAAATGCATTTGTTTGAAATCTAATCATGCAAACATGACAATAGTGTTGATTTCCATGTCATTAAGTTTAAGGTTTTCATTACGCAATGTTCAATGTGTTTGTTTTTTAAATATAATTGAAATCATATAGTGCCTAGGTTGCGGGTTTGCATTTAATTTCATATCTATACAGAATTTGTTTTAAATGTTTCCATTCCAGTAGTTAACAGCAGATAATTATTCTAAGCTGTTTTTCGAATTTCCTATAAAATGTACAGTTCTGAATTTATGTGGCGATAAAGGGTGAATGCTTGGATATCTGGATACAGTTTCATGTAGGCAATTGAGACAGCTATTGCGCTGTTTATTTTCAAAAAGATAAAGACTACTTAGCTGCAATCCTTGTAGACACATAATAATGGCTAAAACACCGGAAAACGTTTACGTATTCCATGAGTATATTAATGTTTATTTTCCAAATTAGGTTTCATGGGAAACGGATCCTGGTTTTCATGGATAAACGATATGGAAAATTGGAATGGTGCCAACTCCCTTTGCCTTTCCTACAACGATTTCAAACAGGTTTAATTCGATAATATTAAAGTTAAAAATACCTCTGATAAACAAAACCAAAAGTATCTTATTTCAACTGAAAGAATTAACTTGATAGTTTAATATAACAAGATATCCTAGAGGGATTATAATGTTTTATTAGTTCAATGAAAGCTTGATCTTGCACGATTCTTCGTCTTTCAATACTGGCTTTTAGAGTGTACTCAAAGTGAGGCCATTGTTTACTTCTTGAGAAATGGCGATAACAAACTAGAATTCTCAAAATCCAAGGTAGCTAACAGGCGGACATCTTGATTATTCCAAACAGCCTAAAATCAATTTTTCTATGGACCAAAGTGAACCACATACGAATTTGACAAATATCAGTCAAAAATATCTTGATAAATAGCGATTACAAACTTAAACCCCCCAAAACCACGATGGCCGCCTGATGGTCATCTTGTTATTACAGCCATTTCCAAAATGAAACATTAACAACTATCGATCATGGGTAACCTACGCATTTGGGAAATCCTGAATTATAAAAATCAAAGATAGCTGCCTGACGGTCATTTTGTTTTGCTTTTTCGATCAGTTCCAAAACGAAACATGCACTACTTTCATTTAAGATTAACCTACACATTTTGAAAAGGTCTGTTGAGAACCTCTAGAGAAAATGGCTAAAACATTTGAGCTTTCAAAATCTAAAGCGGTTATCTTGTTTCTCTGATACTGCACAAGTGAAGACCAAGATAAGTTTTCATATGAAAATTTGGAAAGATCTGTGAAGAACTTCTTGAGAAATAGCGAAAACAATATTCAGCTATAAAATAAAACATGATGACTGCCAGGCAGCCATCTTGTTTTTTCGATCAGTCTCAAAATAAAACATCATATCACAACAAGAGACCAAAGAAAAGATTCACATGAAATGTTTGAAAGATCAGTATATTACTTTTGGAGAACCAGCGATAACAATAGTTGTTTAAGGACGAAGGACGAACGACTGGCGAAATTAAAAGTACATTATTTGATGATGGTACGCTAAAAATATCACTGCATTTGTATTTCTGCAATACTGATTGTGACACGCTTAAAAAGCTATATAATGTTACTAGATTTAACATTGATATGAATACAAACGTTTTATATTACAGAATACTTTCGAGAATGTTGTGAAGTTAGCCAAGTTTTTAGAAGTGGATCAAGATGAAGATTTTCTGCGATCAGTCACAGAAAGTATTCAGTTTGACAATTTAAAAAAGAGCCATACTCTTGCGACTCCGGCAGATGACCGTTGGAGTGGCATTTGCGATGATGGACGGCTGCCAATTTACCGGAAAGGTAGATATAATTGTATTATTTTTTATAATACAGCAACTTATACTTGAAATAATTTTACTAGGATGCTGATCATCGCCCAGAGATGCCTTACGGGTTTGACATTATGTTATACAGTGTGTGTGTTTTTTAACTTAACAAATATCTTTTTTTAGCTTTTTTTGCCAAAATGTACAGGTTAAGATTTTAATGCCAGTGATTAAATTCAGTAATATGGTTCAACATTGATGAAGTGAAATAAAAAGAAACTGATTTTCTTTAAAATTTACCACAAAACTTATGGTTTAGGCACTCACTGATTTGGCGTGAAACTACATATGTATTATCGATGCATGCTTAGTGGCCCATGCGCACAGGCAATATCATGAGGTCAAGGAAAGGTCGACAGAACATGTGATAGGAAATGACATCAAGCAAGCGAAAAGGAAAAAGGAAAACGTTTTATTGAACATTAATAATGGCTTTGGTGACTTTGGGAAAAGACCAATAGCCTTCAAATTGTCTTAAACTGTAGAGACATTATCATTTCGAAAATATATTGGTTTGGTTTATAATTGTTTAACGTCCTAATAACAGCTATGGTCATTTAAGGACGGCCTCCCCCCTGTTTGTAAGATGCATGCACGTTGTGTATGCGTGTGTGTTTTGGGAGGCTGAGATATGTTAGTGTTTGTCTCCTTGTGATAGCGCGGAACTGATGCCGACTTTATATAGTGCTACCTCACTGAAACATACTGCCGAATACACCCAGCAGGACACCCCACCCGGTCACATTATACTGACGGGCGAACCAGTCGTCCAACTCCACAATTAAGAAAATATATGGACATGTATCTTTGTGGAAATTCGACAAATTATGACGAAAAGTGTTTTACTGTAAATGATTCTTGATGTGCTATGCATTTTGTACGAATGACCCATCCGGTCACGGGCAAAGACAACCTCGTCCCGGTGCCTTTCCCTGTAGCTAGGGCACCATTCATCGACTGTAGGATTAATCGAGTGTAATTTGTTGTCTACGCATTATTTCCAATTATATGACCACTTTAATCTTATAAACTTTCTATAATTGGCTAAAACAATCGGTAAAAGAAAGAACAAGTGGTAATTATATAGCTGTTCTTCAGTGATTGATTTTGTATTTGCAGGCCAAACCGGAGAATGGAAAAAAATGTTCACTGTTGCCCAAAGCGAAGAGTTCGATAAACTGTTTAAGGAAAAAGTAGCTCAGTTCGGGCTGAAGATTGACGTCAGTTTTGATTAAATTTCTTCTTATGGATATTATAAGAACGTGGTCTTTTTGTACGTCTTTATTAAGATCAACAATGAACACAGTCGGAAAATACATAAATGAGAAATACTCAGATATTTACCAAACGATGTGATGTTCCGATGATAAACATAATTAACATTGGAAACGAGACAAAAGAATAATTGACACAGTGCATTAATGAACAATAAGTAAATGTAGTCAATGTAGTAACATAATAACTGAGTATCAATTATTACTTACAAATAATATGCCTTAAACAGGCTAATGTTAGTGTTTCCTCAAATGACTCCATTCGTATTACAAATGGCGACTTTCCATCCAAGGGGAGTAACTTTGAAATACCTCGACTATAAAAGGAAGTAACTATGTGATTATCAATGTCAAAAAACAATTATGTAGATATGTGTTGGGTTTCCTTCTACGTCCTTAATAATATGTGCAGGTTCGGACACTAGACCTGTTGTATCCGCCTCGGTCATCGGATGAGGCGACAAATGTGAGTCTTTGTAGATTCCGATATAATTTCTTTTGTGTCTTCTGGGGGACAATTGGAGAAACCAATAATGGTTAGTTGTACAAATATGCGGCACTGCCAAGCAAGGCGCTATGATATACAAAGTAGTTGGAAGTAGAGAATATACAGTTCCTTCCCAAATACTGCAATGGGTGCAGCAGATTTATTTTGAAAGCTTTTATGTCCCCAAGAAGAGGGTAGAATGGCAAATCCTCAATTCTGCAGGAATTTCCTACATTAACCGACTCTTACGATCCTGCAGTGGAAAACAACAGGTGTTTTCTTTTCTCATTGCCTAATCGCAGGGGTGACCACTAGCCTAATGGACCACAATTAGATCGTCTGTTTGTGCTGTTTGTTAATGGATGACGGGAGCCACTTTTAAAGTACAACCTCGCTGAAACATAACCTAGACACAGTAGCATAATACTTAACTCGGTCACAACGTGGGGTATTACCGCATCAGACGTAAGGCAAGATTTTAGCTCACCTTCCCGAAGGGCAAATGAGCGTTTGACATAGTGCGTCGTTGGTCATCCGTCCGTCGTCAACTTTTTACTTTAAACAACTTCTAAGTAACCAAACTGCCTAGGATTATGATATTAACCCAATGACATGCTGGGATAAAAGGCTACCAACTTTAATGAATGACATTGAATTATATTCAAGGTCACAGGGGTCAAATATGGTGAAAACTGTACTTCTTCTTCTTTATAACCACAGTACATAGGATGATGATATTTGGCCAGTAGCATGCTGGGGTAAAGGGCTACCAAGTTTGTTCAACTGAACGACCTTGACTCATATTCAAGGTCACAGGGGTCGAATATGTTTAAATTGTTTTAAACAACTTCTCAGTAACTAAGAGGCCAAGGGTGATGATCTTATTAGTTTGGTTTAATTTTGTTTAACGTCCTATTAACAGCTAAGTCATTTAAGGACGTGCCTCCATGTGTGTAGTGTACGTGTGCTTGTGGTCGTGTATGCAGGAGACAGGGTATGTTGTTGTGCTTCCCTCCTTGTGATAGAGCGGATCTGAAACCGACTTTAAAGTACCAAGTTGTTGATATTTAGCATGCTTGGATGAAGGGCTACCAAGTTGTTTAAACTGATTGACATTTGCCCGTTTTCAAGGTCACAGCGGTCAAGTATATAACAATATTTTAATGACTTCTCCTGAATAACCAAGAAGCTGGGGATGATGATATTAAGCCAGTGACATGCTGGGATGAAGGGCTACCAACTTAAATAAATCACCTTGAATTATATTCAAAGTCACAGGGGTTAAATATGTTGAAAACTGTACTTCTTTTTTATATCCGCAATGCCTAAGATGATGATATTTGACCAGGAGCATGTTGAGATGAAGGGCTACCAAGTTTGTTCTAATGAATGAATGAATGACCTTATATTCAAGGTCACAGGAGTCAAATTAGTTTAAAGGTTTAAACAAGTTCTGCATTACCAAGAGGCATATGGTGTTGATGTTTAGCCAGTAAAATGCTTGAATAAAGGACTACCAATTTCTAAAAAAACACACTGACCGCTGCCCATTTTCAAGGTCACGGGAGGCAAATATGTACAAATATTTTAATGACTTCTTCTGAATAACAAAGAAGACGGGGTTGATGATATTAAGCCAGTGACATGCTGGTGTGAAGGGCTACTAACTTTGTTCAAATGAATGGCCTTGTATTATATAAGGTCACAGGAGTCAAATATGTTGAAAAACGTTTTTTAACCAAAAAGTCCAAGGTAATGATATTTGGCCAGAAGCATGCTGGAATGAAAGGCTATAAAGTCTGTTCAACTTAATTTCCTTGACTTTCAAAAAAAAATAAAAATAATAATAATAGATTCTTTTATTTCAAACACTGATGTTTTGCCTGTATCTGTATTTAACTCCACTTTTAAGGTTACAAGTGTGGATTTATACCAGGTGAGCGAATCATGCCCAATGGGCATCTTGTTAGATTTTAGGTTTTATTTTGCTTAACGTCCTATTAACAGCTTAGGTCATTTAAGGACGTGCCTCCATGAGTATTTTGTAGGCGTGCATGTGTGCAAGAGACAGCGTAAGGCAAAACAAAAATCAACTGAAAATGAAGTGAGAAAATGAAAATATCCCATACGTGCAATAGGCAGAACAGGTTTACTATTTTTTGTCGTTTTGGTGCCACTCTACATATATATGCAAAAGACTTCTAACGTTTTAACATTCGGATTTTTCTTTCCTTTTTTACCGTTCTTGGTTGCTGAGCGTCTTCCAAGGCAGCTCCTTACTTTTGATCTAACTGGTAAACGTTCGCCCATGAGGGATGAGGAATGTATACTGTCCATAGGCCGTTCCATACCAAAATTATTAAAATGCCAATGGCATGTGTAAGGGTAAGAGGCGGTATGTTGGGATATTTGCTTGTGCTTTTATTGGAATGCTTTTCATAGTTAACTAGTACATTTTGTACATATATATGCGTTATCAGATACGTAGGACTGCAACATACAAATAAAAGGACCATTATGTTTTTCTTTTCATTTTTTATGTTCCTATAGTTTGAAAGATGTACCTTTAAGATTAGGTTATATTGGGTTTAGCGTCTTGTGAGCAGCTAAAATTATTCATAGACGCTCCTCCAACTTCACTGTGTAATACACACGTGGTATATGTTGGTGTATTTGCCTCCTTTGGATAGATATGAAAGTTGCTTCAGTACAAAACCTACTCCGACGCCACATTTCAGAGAATTCGATCCAGTCACAACAACTGGTCAACCAGTTGATGTGATCACAAAATGTACCATTTCCGATTCGCTATGTCCTTGCCAGGGGACGGAACTCATTTCTTCCCCTACCTTGGCAAACCATAAACCTGATATTATGAGCTTGAACCCATTGCGTCCCCATTTTAGCTAACCCTAAACCTGATATCCTGAGCTAAAATCACGACACGTTATTTGTTTTATCTTGTCCCGTAACAAATAGGTTATTAAGGTAAATAGATAGTGTTGTGTGGCCTGATACACTGAGGCCTTGAAGTATATTCAAGTATCAGATGTGTTTTCTCGCTAGTGAGATGTCATTACTACTCAAACTTCAGTGTTCGGGAAAGAATATGCCTGCTGTATCTCACCGCATTTTATTATTAGACGTGAGTAATGTGGGGTACCCTAACCTTGCAGATATTTTTTTATCTAGGCCAGTTATAAATCGACCATACAATTTCATATTGTTTTGGTGCTTGATTTACCCTTGCCTTGGAGCGTTATCAATATCTTGTGACTATGCATATCCAAGTGATATTTATACGTTGCCCTAGTAAAATGTCGCTCCAATTCAAACTACAATTTTAAAACCTGCGCCCTGCTGTATTTCACTACATGAGGGCACTCATTTTTGGTCTCTGCAGAATCGTGTTATTTTGTCAGTGTCTTCTGTTAAGGGGACACTGTGGAAACCAAAATCGATCTGCTGCCCACACTGCAACACTTGAGATCTGTCTGTCTGTCTGTCTGTCTGTCTGTCTCTCTCTCTCTCTCTCTCTCTCTCTCTCTCTCTCTCTCTCTCTCTCTCTCTCTCTCTCTCTCTCTCTCTCTCTCTCTCTCTCTCTCTCTCTCTCTCTCTCTCTCTCTCTCTCTCTCTCTCTCTCTCTCTCTCTCTCTCTCTCTCTCTCTCTCTCTCTCTCTCTCTCTCTCTCTCTCTCTCTCTCTCTCTCTCTCTCTCTCTCTCTCTCTCTCTCTCTCTCTCTCTCTCTCTCTCTCTCTCTCTCTCTCTCTCTCTCTCTCTCTCTCTCTCTCTCTCTCTCTCTCTCTCTCTCTCTCTCTCTCTCTCTCTCTCTCTCTCTCTCTCTCTCTCTCTCTCTCTCTCTCTCTCTCTCTCTCTCTCTCTCTCTCTCTCTCTCTCTCTCTCTCTCTCTCTCTCTCTCTCTCTCTCTCTCTCTCTCTCTCTCTCTCTCTCTCTCTCTCTCTCTCTCTCTCTCTCTCTCTCTCTCTCTCTCTCTCTTCGATGAACGTTAAGTCACATGCAACACATACAAGATGCCTAATGGGCCCTCGTTGCTCGCCTGCTATTAATATTACACTTTAAAGAGAACCAAGGTCAAATATACTTGTATAGCCTTAATAAATTTACAGATAAATATTCTAACCTGCATGAATGAGTCTTGGTTAATCTGGTTAATCAAAACAACTTATTACAAGATTTTTACACATTTGACCTAAGTGACATTAAAAGTCTAACAAGGTCATTCAGTTGAACAAACTTGGTAGCCTTTAATACCAAATATCATCACTCTACTACTTTTGGTTATTGAAAAGAGGTAGTTTTAACACATTTGATCCCTGCAAACTAGAAAGTGGGTCACTTGATAGCCATTCATATAACATGCTATTGGTCAACTATCATCATCATAGGCATTTCAGGCTATTCATAGAAATCAACAACAAAAATGAGCACATATGACCTCTGTGACCTTGAATATCTGAATAGGGTATTCATTTGAACAAAATTGATAGACCTTGAGTCTATCAAGCTACACACTGTCTTTTGCTTATACAGATTTAGAGATGTTAACGCATTTGACCCATGTGACCTTTAAAGTAGGTCAATGTCTTTTTCATTCGTAAACCTTGGTTGAATCCATCCAATGAAGATCGTTTGATTCTAGCCTATCGGTGTTTCAGAAAAAAGTTGTTTGAAGTTTTGATATATTTGACTCCTGTGACCTTGAAAGTCTGTGTCATTTCCATATGCAAACTTTGTTAAGCTCATTTCAGGAAGCTCTTAGCTAAATAAAAATATGCTATGCCCTTTGGTTCTTCAGAAGAAATGTTTGACGTA